CTTCCCCCACATACTCACCTGACTCTCCCTGTAAACTGACCCCGTCCCCAGGCCCTCTGCCCCCCTCTCCCAGCCACACCCTCATCACCCTTCACCAGTTGTATAGCCACAGCACAGCTGGCATCAAGTCCATCCTCCAGCCAAGCCTCCACTCCACTACAGCAAAAGCAGGCTCTCTGAAGCACAGGCCAAGACCCAGGCCAGAGACTGCCCTACCTCTACCACATACACACACATGCATGCACACCCAGGGTGGGTTTAATGCACAGTGCAGTTGCTTCTGGCTGTCACCAGAGTCAGTGTGTACTGGAAGGTGTGAGGGACAGCAGTTATCAGCATCACCTGCAGTGGGGGGCTGTGAACAGCCAGGAGCTCAGTTCCCTGAAATACTGAGCCTGGAATACTATCAGTAAACTGGATTTCTTTTTTCTAATTTTTAATTTTATTAGTATAGGTGTTTTGCCTGTATGTATGTCTCTGCTGTGATTCCCCTAGAACCAGAGTTACAGATGGTTGTAAGCTGCTAGGTAGACACACTGGGAATCAAACCCAGGTCCTCTGCTGAAGCTTCTCCAGCTCCAGAGACTCTGAAATTTTTATTTGAAGAGAAGAGAAGAGAAGAGAAGAGAAGAGAAGAGAAGAGAAGAGAAGAGAAGAGAAGAGAAGAGAGGGCGGGGGAGAGAGAGAGAGAAGGAAGGAAGGAAAGAAGGAATAAAGGCAGGCACTCAAATACAAACATGACCCACTCTTCTCCAGATGAATTGAGAACAGTTAACCTGCAGTCCCAGCACCTAGAAAGGCTGAGGGTGGAGCATCACTGGGAGTTGCAAGCTAGGCAACACAGTGAAACCATCTTTAAAAAAAAAAGACCAGATGAACTTCCCTCTTCCCTTCACATATGTTGAAGTTAGAGTCATTCTGCTACAATTTTACATGGAATGAGTAACCCTGCCTTATGATTGTCAGAAATACATCTCACCCCTATCTGCATGAGTGAGACAAGTGGCAATAATGCCAACATCCTACAACCTAGCTTGCTCTATGCCTTCCCGGAGTAGCCTATTCCAGCTCTTCGGGGAGTGACATTATACCCTCTGAATTTATCCATACATACACTGGATGGAGATGGCTTTCAATTCCAATTCAATTCCAAAACAAGGCATATGATGCTATACCCAAGAGCCTGTATGGAGGCGTCTTTTCTCTTCCAGAGTGAAACTTAAAAAACAAAAACAAAAAAAGAAAAAAAACCACCCCTTATATAGCATCCAGCCAAGCAATGGGAAACCTGCCTGGTAAAGCTCACTTTTGTTTTTCTAAAGTCCATATTACAATTTTTCAAACAACTTCTCCACATTCCAAAAAAAACAAAAAACAAAAAAACAAAAACAAAAAAGATGAGCAGTTTATAAAATTAAAACTTTCAAGAGGCATTGTAATTTGCTTTTAATCATTTCATTCCCCCCCCCCCAAAAAAAACAAGACAAGGAAACAAACACTCAGAGTTGGAGCTGCCCAAGGTGACACAGTCAAGCTGTAAGGTTATAAGGTAACGCTGAAATTCTCCACGTTTACACCATACCCTAATGAGTCAATGCCAAGTTCCAGATACAGTGAGAGCAATTGTGCCAAATTCCACACTGGCCAGCCTTCCCCCTGCAAGGCATGGTGGGAGTGCTAACTGGCAAGATCAAGGCACACGCGCACACGTGCGTGCGTGCGCACGCACACACACACACACACACACACACACACACACGGCAACAGAGGCGGGGCTGAGCAGAAGTGGCCCAAGCACAAGCCACGCCAGGGGTTTAGTCAACAAGAGAACTAATAGGAATCAACAGTGGGAGCCGTTGCCAAGCACATCAACCAGTGGGACCTGCAGCCACATTCATATAAGCCAAATGCCTGGCTCCCTCAGACCAGACCGCACCCGAAGGCTGCACATGCCTCAACTAACAGGTGGGAGGTTCCCTCCATGGCATGGCTCAGGGTGGCCCTCTGGGTGTCACCTGGAAGCTGGAGTTGGGCACCAAGCTTGCTTTGGACTGCATGTTATAGGTGGGGTTTAAAATACATTCTTGTTCATGCTTTATCCACAACCAAGAAAGCACTGACTAGCTACATGAAGGATTCAGAGCATTCAGGAATGCTAGCAGATTCAACCAACCAGACCACCCAACTCCAAGTCTGTTGGAGGGGACGCACTAGGAAAATGACAGTGGCAACTTCACTAATTATCACAACTGGGCCATGGCTTTGCCAAGTGACAGTAATGTAAGATTCTATGATTTCAACCATCAAAAACTTCAGAAAGTCCTTCTGACCCCACACCTCACACACCCCATCTTAACCTTCTGGAGTGTTCCACTGGGGAGTGTTTCTCCTATTAGCATCACTCAGAATACAAAACCATCTTTCCAAATGTGTCTTCCAAGAGCCTCCAGGGCATACCTCACTGACCTCTGTGTTCACAGCAAGTAGCTTAGCACATTCAAGACACCCCATAAATTATGAGTAACCGCACTGAGGTGCCACAGCCTGGTCATACTGAGGGTGTTAACTATGTTTGAGGCCATTTTAGAACACATGTGTCTGTCCTAAGAGGGGCTAATAAAAAGGTTTATGACAACACATAACCACTTTTGTACAGTGAGTAAAGGAATTCTTGAAACAAAGGCCACCCGAGGGTTTTAATTACAAAGGAGTCATAGACTGGCCAGGTCCCCAGGTCTCTGTGGAAATGATCCAATATAGAAGGGAGCTTAGAGGCTATCAGGTCAAAGGTAAATTCTGTCTGTGTAACAAGCAGCCAGGCAAGGCCAGAGCCCAGGAAGTAGCAAAAACCCAGAAACGGTGGTAGGGTCAAATGCCTAGAAGGAGGCACAGAAAGGTAAGAGGGTAAAGCAGGTCTAAGGGAACAGCACAAACACTTTAAATTCACAGGGCAGCCGGCTGCCTGGCGCTAACCCTTGTAACTAAGAAAATTAATTACAGAACTAATACTCAGCTCAGGGAAGACTGGTGGAGGAGACTGAGTGATGCAAGTCTAATATCGAATACATCTTTAAATCAATGAGCCATGTTCACTGGTGATTTTTTTCTTCATCTTTCCTCCCTGAAGGCTCAACGCGATAAAGCCAGTATTTGCTTTTTATTTGTCTGTGGACATGGCGCACAGTTTTACCTCTGCATGTATAAATAAAGCTCGGGGTTCACTAAATCACATATCTTTTAAAAAGGCATCAGAAACATCTGTCATCATAAGGAAACCCGAGGCGGAGGGATTCCTCTGTGCCCTTTTATAAAAGGGAAGAAACCTTTCAGGACGCCTGCCTGTGTTCCCCTCCCCCACGGCCCCAACAGCCGCAGTAAGTCAGCATCCCAACCTGTTCGTGTGTGCCTGTTTGGATCTCTTTAGCACACAGGCACTTTACTCCGTCTGCAATTTTTCATCTCAGAAACACCACTTACGCCTGTCGCAGCAACCTGACAGTAGCAATACATTTTATAAGCCAATTATCCCTGGGGGACAGACAAGAAAACCACCCGGCAAGGAGAACGACAAAGTTCCCAAGGATAGCATTCCTTTGCCAGATGCAAACTGCGCCACATCCTCTCCCAACCCAAGCTGCCCACTCACCTCGCCTCTGCTCCCCGATCTCAGGCTGCCTCTCCCAGCTGCAACAGAGCTGGAGAGCCTCATTCTTGGGGAGCAGTGACAAGAATGCTTTTTAAAAGACAACAGCTCTGGGCTGGGGAATGTTGGCACCTTTTCTATGAAAAGGCCCCGCAAAGATATTGTTATGACAAAATGCTCTCCTATGGAGCACAAGAACCACAAAAATTAAACTGCCACAGATTGAAACAGCCTCCAAATTAGACCCACACGAAGAAGCATTAGAGCCCAGGCCAGGTAGGTTAAGAGTTCTTTAAGTCCAAAAAAGATTCCTGCCACCCATCAAGGCCTAAACGCTCCGGACAATCTGTAACTCATCTAAAGCTCAATTATTGCAGCGTCTTCTTCAGTCATGCCCAAAGATTCCCAAAGGCACCGTCTGCCGCAGCGCCGAGTGCACAGTGGGCGCCCCGTTAGGCATCGGTTTGATTGGATCTGACTGGCCCCTTCCGCCAGAAAGGCTCTTTTGGTAGCTGGACTCCCAGCTGGAGATACTGCCGCTGGCCTAGCTTGCCACTGGAACTGGGCCCGGGTGCAACCACCTGTGGGTATGTGGCTGGGACACAGGCCCCAGCGCTGCCACCCGGGGATGCCCTGCACTTCTGCCAGGTGTGGGAGGCAGTGCGTAAACCAGTCCAGAGGGAGCTGGGGCCAACTCCCAGCACCCCAAGGTTTCTGCCCGTTCAAAGTTGACCTGGCCTGAGAGTTGTCTCCCAAGTCGCTCCACCCCCTGCGAGGTTGTGAGCCAGGGGACTCGTTGGGATAGGAGTGGGGGACATCCAGAGGGGGTCCACAGAGGGCAGAGAGGCAAAACTGTTCCCTAACCCTCTTCCCAAACTTGGGGCACCTTCCGGGGTTTCTTCTCCAGTGTCTCATCAAGGCCTGACACAAACCCTGGAGCAGTCCAGCATCGCTTGGAAAAAAAAAAATATATATATATATATATATATATATATATATATATATATATATATTTAACCCAGCATGGAAGGCCAGCAATGACAGGGAATGCTGGCCACCTGCGCCAAGAGAAGGGTACACCGGACGTGGGGACCGTGTGCAATGGGGTAGGGGTGAGGCCCAAAAACCTAGGTGGGCGCCAAAAAGACGCAACCCTGCGGTGCAAGGTGCCAAAGACCGGGCCCCGCAGCCTACGCCGGCTTGGTGGTCCGGGAGGGTTCCAGGCTGGGGAGCACTGGAAGAAGCTGGGGGAGGGGTCCCCGAAGAGCGGCCCGGGCAGCTTCCCAGAGGGAAACACTGAGGCAGGGGGCTCTGCCCCAAGGAGTGCAGGCTACTAGTGCCCCGCCGAGTCACTCACCGGCAGGTCCACGCTCACTTCGGTTCCGTCGAGCAGGAAGACACGGCAGTAGAGGGTGGCCTTGGCCGCTCCAGAGGCGGAGATGTGCACGGCCGCGCCGCCCGTGAGCAGGGGCCCGCCGCCGGCCGGGAACACGCTGCCCCCGGGCGCGGCGGGCAGCACCGAGGAGGTGGCGGCGGCGGCCGGGCCCCCTCGCGGCCCCCCGTCGCGCTCGTCCCCCAGCCCGGCGGCCCCGCGCCCCGCCGCGCCCCGCGCGTAGCGCTGCATGGAGCGGCGGCCAAAGGTCCGGCGCAGGAACCGCAGCATCCTGGCCGGGGGCGCCCCCTGCCTCCGCCCCCTGCGCTACCGCCGCGCCGCCGCCCGGGAGCGCCCGGCGACGCCGTCAGTGCCAGCCGCGCCGCCTCCCGCGGGCTGCGGCCCGGGGCTCGCTCCCGCCCCAGCCGAGGCCGAGGCCGCGCTCCGGCCGCCAGCGGGGCGCGTCGGCCCAGCCAGCGCCCGCCGCGAGTAGCCGCGCAGAAGAGAGAGCGCACGATCGGCTCGGGGGACCGTCCCGCTGCTGTCGCCTCTACGCGCTGGAAGGGGCGGGCGGTCGGTGCCGGCTACTGCGTAGCCGATCTTCCTCCCCCCGCCCCCCCGAAGAGCGCTGCAGGGGGACCCGGCTGCGGGCTGCTCCCGCGCCGCGCGCCGGCCGAGGGCCAGCCGGAGCAGAGCGCCTGCGTGCTCCTGGCGCGCTCGCTCCCACTCGCGCCGTGCCCGGCCCGAGGAGGCCCCCGCCAAGCACCCGCTCTCGGGGCGCCTTTTCCTGCGCCCGCAGCCCCCGCCTCCCACCTGGGAGGGCTGCACCTCCAGCCGCCGCCACCGCCGGCACTGCAGCACGCCCTCCTCCCCCGGGGCTGCGCCGGGCCTGTGCTGCCCCCTGCCGGCCCGAGTGCCCCCTGCTGCTGTAGGTGCGCTCACGTGCATACACGTAGGTGAGCACACACGTGTTTCCGGGCGCGCAGGACCCCCTGAGAAGTTGAAAGTCTCTCCCTCCTTGATCGGATGAAGAAAACAAGGCTGCCTCCTTCCTGGGAAAACTTGTTCCTGGGGCAAAGAACAACACTTCTCTTGATGAAAGAAAAACCAAATCACAACACTCAGTTTCCCCTTCTGCAGAAGATGTGGAGTAGATGACCTAGAAGGGCCCCTGCTACTTAAGTAAATTCTATCAGTTTGAAAATCTCAGCTATGACTGCAGCTTTAACCTTCCGCTCCAATGGACTCATTCCAAATAAGAAAATTGAGGCCTGTGAGGAAGGGAAGTACTTTTCCGTACTCCATAGGAGACACCCTGCTTCAAGGATCTCGCTCATGCCCAGAATTGAGGCAAGGGCTTGCATAAACAATTGCTACTGAGAAGGTTGGTCAAGGTTGGACAGACTTCTGGGAAGCAAAGTAGAACTGGGGCCATGAGAATGAATTGCATAGGACACGTGGAGGAAACTGGAGACCGAGGGAATGCCAGCTGGAGACAGAGCAAATTGCTGACGAGCAATGCCCACAGGTTCGGGATTTGCCCACAGACAAATGGGGGTGTCCCGTGCTGCAGAATGAGGAATGTGGGAAATGAGGCTGAAAGGAGGCCAGGCCTTTGGGGAGAATAATGCTACTGTTTATTAGGCTCTAATTTTGTGCCTACACTACACTAAGCCCTTCCCATACATTTCAATTTAGCCTGCTGGCATATAAGGTAATTATCCCCGTTATACAAAGAAGGAAACTGAGGTTTAGAGAGCTGAAGAGACTGACATACAGACTCATTGACCCGACTCCAGAGCCCGTAATAATACTGATTGGCAAGCAAGTGGCAGTTTTGAGTTGGAGAAGCAGTGGCCTCAGCAAAACAGAGAAGACAAGGGCCGAATGTAGGAGTCATTCCAGAACAGATATTTATTGAGAACCTGGCATTGCCTTAGGTGATTTCATCCTTTGCATCTTCATTAATCCTCATTCCAACGTTCTCAGACAGTTCTATTTATTTCCATTCACTTAGATGGATTTTGGAGCTTAGGTATGTAATATGCTTGCCCAGGGTCTGAGAGCTGCCTAGCATTCACTCTATGATTTTATGGGAATCACCCATGTGACAGTATACTCTGGAGGCATCTACAATGAGCTCTCACCTCCTTGACAGATTTGACAGGTACTATTCACAAGCTGATGTAGCTTGGGTCAGCTGACCGGTTTCTGAGGACATCTCCAGGAATGCTGCAGTAGAATGAATAATAGCCGCTCAAGGATGTCCACCTTTGCATTTTACACTTGCACTGTTGGATTTCAGCATATGTGGCAGTTAAAAAGTGGGGGAATTACTTCATTGTCATAACCAGTGGAGTCAAAGGGGACTTTATTGGGAGACAGGAGGATCAGAGTGAGGGAAGGAGCTGTGGCAAGGCAACAACTGTCTGAGGTGTGTTACAACCTCCTGGGGGGTCACGTATTAGATAGTTGCATAATTCATAACACTAACAAAATTACAGTTATGAAGTAGCGATGAAATAATTTCATGGTTGGGGTCACCATAATGTGAGGAACTTATTAAAGGGTTGCAGCATTAGGGAGGTGGAGAACCACTGCTCTAGAAGACTGAAAAAGGAGTGAGTTATACCATAGAGTCTAGAAGGAATGCGATGTTGACTTCAGCCTATAAGATCCATCTTAGGCTCCAGAATGGTAAAGGTAAAATAACATTTCATGTTGTCTTAAGCCACTGTGTATATATACTAAGTATGTATGTATGTATAGTATAGTATAGTATAGTATATATGTATATGTCAGCCAAGCAGGAACTAAAGCAGGTGCACTACATGATGTCAGTTTGGAGCATCACAACTTTCAAAGCCACCCATCTTATGAACATCTTTTCAGAGCCTTCTCTCCCTTTGAACTCCAGGCTCCACTAAGTCCAGACATTTTCTTACTATCTGTTTATCCCCACTCAGCACCTAGCCCGGGATTGGTGAGTAGCAAGCACTCATCACATGCTGCTGAATGGCCACAGGGTCCCACTTATTCTTCCCAGTGCTTCTGTAAGGGACACTATGTTATTTTCTCTTTGAGATGAGGAAGTGAAAGGTGAGGAGAGCCCAAATTCCCACAGTTGGGGCTGTTTGGATCTAATGGCTTATGACAGTGCCATCCTGAATCACATCGGAATTCCTACATTTCAGAAACTAGATATCCAGGCATCACTTTAACAACAGGTCTTGTCACTAAAGTTACAGCCTCAGAATTTCAACATTTAGTCAGCAAACTTGGATTTCACAGTCACAGGACTATGTTCCAACAGCCACCCTTTCTCAGTTGTTGCCTTCAGACCCTAAGTTCCCTAACTGTTTTATCTAAAGTCTAGAACCAACCCCTCAAAGATTTTAGTAGCCTTTTCTTGGACTCCCCTCCCCATGCCACTTAACAAATAATGAGTCTGCCAGAGCTGCCTGCATGTGAATGTACCATTCTTTTTTATCCATTTGTGTGTAAGCATTTGTGTGTACGTATGTGTATGCATGTAGAAGCCAGAGACTGATAGGGTTATTTCCTTAGTCAGTTTACCTGATTTTTGAGACGAGCTATCTGACTGAGATAGAAGGAGTAGCCAGTAAGTCCCAGGGAGCCTGTGTTCTTAACTTCCCCAGCACTGGAATTACAGGTGTGTACTGCCATGCTTGGCTTTTCTGTACAGGTTCTAGGGATTAAAGTCAAGTCCTCATGGTTGCATGGCAAACACTTTACCAACCAAGCTATTTCCTCTGCTCCCAATGCATCACTCCTAAATGACATTTTTATCCTTAAACGAGTCATCATCAGAACCCTGTTGCTATGACCTGTGTCCTTTCAAATTTCATGAGGCAGGGCCTTTTGGAGGTGCTTATGTTGTAAGGACTCTGCTTCCTTGAGTAAAATTAGTGTCTTTGCAAGAGACACTTATAGGGCTAGAGAGATGGCTCAGCTTTTAAAGGCTAGGCTCACAACCAAAAATACAAGAGACACTTATAAAGTATCTTGCCCTTTTGGTCATGGTAGGACACAGCAAGGTGTCACCAGAAGCCCTCACCAAACACCTTCATTTTGAACCTCCCAGCCTCCTGGTACTACAGAAAAGAAATCTGTGTTGTCTGTGCTATTTTGTTGAAGCACCCTGAATGGACTAAGGCACCAATATTTCTCATGCATCTCTGCCTAGAACCATCAGGGAGACCCTCAGTAGAGTCTTAGACTGGCTTCCAGATCTTCTCCTGGGCTATAAGCAGTGATTTCACCTTAACTATATAAGATCATCCAGAGTAGGACCCATAGCATCGCCTCCTTGCCATCTCCATGTTACCCCTCATGTTACTTCTCTGCCCCTGGCCTCAGCTCACAAGCTCCTTCTCCTGCACCTCCCATCTCTACTCAGGAGTTTTGTGCTGTCAACATACCCTGACATTTCCTGTAGACCTCCCCCCTCCAGTGTAAACATATCATTGATTACATAACCTTTAACCTTGTTTCTAAGGAACTTCTAGAAATGTATCATTTGACCCAATCCTTTGTTTCCTGGATTGAGGTTCAATGAAGTTGTGCCAGAATCCCATTGGATTCCTTTTTCCTCCCTCAAAAGAAGATTGCACTTGACTATGGGTCCCTACTTCCTCCTTTGTAATTTTACCTTTCTGTAATATTCCTTGAGGTTATTATGTAATGCAAATGCTCCACACATATCAGCTTCATCTTTCATGGGTTTATGGATGTGCACATGTGCACACAGACTAGAGATCAACTGCATGTCATTCCTCAGACAATGTCCACTTAAAACACTCTCTCACTGTCCTGCAACTTGCTGATTGGGATAGGATGGCTGACCAATGAGGCCAAGGGACCCACCTCCCCAATATTGGAGTTACAAGCACTTGCCACCACTGCTGGCTTTTACATTTTTCTTTAGTATGGGTCTGGAAATCAAACTCAGGTCCTCATCCTTGCAGTACAAGCAAACATTTTACCAACTGAGCTCTCTCCAGCTCCCACATGTCTATTTAATCTTTTCCAGAGTGGACAGTTATGGTCTCTACCCAGCTAATGTCCATTTTCCTTCCTTGAGTTAGCATGCAGAACCATTCTGTCTCGACTCAAGGGCTTAAAAGTGTAGTGGTTCTCAACCTTCCTGATGCTTAGATCCCTTAACTCCGCTCCTCATGTTGTGGTGACCCCCAACCATAAAATTACTCCATTGCTACTTTATAACTGTAATTTTGCTACTGTTATGAATTGTAATGTAAATATCTGATATGCAGGATAT